TTTTTTTTTTTCTTAGTGAAAATTCATGTTCATAATAGCAGTCCGCAATTCCTCACTTTACTAACTAGGGAAGACAATCTGTATTGTCTCCCTGAGGAGCCATCTCTGCTAGAAGTGTTTGGTCAAGTCGTTTTATACTGCTTGCAGAAACTTGGCCTTTTATAATAGCCACTGGTTGCGTTGTTGCGGAGATCCTCGAATTCAGTCGCCGGGAACGGGCACACCACATTATTCTTTGTCCAAAGGAAACCTGTCACTGAAATTTCGGATCGTTTTTTGCTGCTACACTCCCCGCAGTTGTGATGCCTTAATGTTGCATCTCCGGTTCCTGTATTTCTTTTGCGACTAGTAAGCATACGCCATAGTCGCTAATCTCTCTTCTCGTCAGCAAACAGTTTAGATGCTGTTCTTGCTTGCGCCGTGCGATGATATTATTTCACGCTTAAATATGTTGCCCGCTTAGTTATGCAGCGCCGAGCGGATAGCGCTTCTTTTTTGCATCTGAAGTTCATGGAAAGTTTCCGCTGAGAAGGAATGGAATAAATCGGGTGCCGCAGAAGGAGCGAAACAAAATTCAACTAGGAAGTGCTAAATTTGCTAAAATCCGATCAGATAAGTCAACTTCGGTGATGCACAACACTGGCTCGAAATAAAGAAGGAAAGAGCAACGCTGCTTAAAAATCACTGTTTTCACTCAGCAAGACCTATCGGTTTTCGTGGAGGGCCTAATTTTGTACATCAAAATTTAAATAACAGGCATAATCAGTGAGTAGCTGTTCTGTGTTTCAAAGTTTCTTATTTGGCTGCGGTGAAATCTTTCCTATTTTCTCGAAATGCTGAACACAGTTTGTACAGCCAGTAGACGATGTTTTACGCATTTACAGTGTCGAACTGGGTTACGGGAACTGGCTGGGCTCAATGTTCCCTTCATTTGATGACGCATTTCTGCGGCAGTTTGTCGTTGGCTTATTTCTGGCTGTATTGGCCATCGCTGAGGAGACTATTAGCCAGAAGTGCCACAAACTACCGATCTGTGCTGTGAGGAAGAACTGCATCAAGGTTATCGAATCTTTTTATCATAAACGGATTTTTCAATTAATTCGCACGTTGTAAGTGAGACCGCTCGGGACTCCGGGCTTTCATCCCACGGATCCCTCGTGCGCTATCATGTTCGCGCCAGTTAACCATCTGGCCTCTGTCTGAAGTGGTTGCATCAAAGATGCATCCTTGCCACTCGCGGTGATCAGTAACATCTGCTTCTAACATAAAAATGTACTAGAAATTAGCCTTGGGAAGTGTTTGGGTCTAGTGGCGAATGAAAATCCAGAACAGTAGCGATGCGCACGCTTTCGTATGCGTTTTTCCTGTGCTTGAATTTTGCACCCGGACTAACATGAACTAACGAAAACGCCGCAACGCAAAAAGCTGTTTGATTTTAAATGAGGATGTGCATTGGTTCACTTCAGTAGCGCAAAAAAAGATCAGCTACAAGTGTGGCCTGTTCAGCTAGCCCGCGGATACCGCATCAAATATCTCTTATACGGCTGGATTGGTAGCTGATCTTTTTTCCCCAACAGCGTCTAGAAGAGGCAGTAATTAGTGCATTTGGTT